CTTCCTTCCGAGGAGTGGCTGGTGGGTTTGAACCACCAGCCTTCTGGTTAGTAGTCAAATATCTTAGGCACTACACCCACAGAGCTGGCCAAATAGGGACTGCAGTGGACAGAGATTCCCCCCCCCCCCTTGTCAAAAGGGAGCAGCTGGTTTTTCTTAATTCCAACCTTTGTTGCCAACAGGTACCTTAGTCCAGTTGCCAGAAATACAGGTTTTTCTAGCAATGCCAGAAATGTGGGGGTTTATGTGAAATTGCTAGTGTTTGACCTGTAACAGTAACATCCCACTATCCCATTCCACCCACATGCCTATTAGACCTGCTCCTCCTGCAGGAACAATGTATCCCTGTGCCTGGCCCCAGCTCCCATTTTCCTTAATTATACAAGCCTTTGATGTTGTTGTTGTTACTTATCGGGTCAGTCCCGACTCACGGTGATCCCATGTGTGCACAGCAGAATCACACTCCCATCGGGTTTTCAGTCTGGTGACCTTCTGGAAGCAGATCACCAAGGCTGTCTTCCATGGCACCTTTGTGTGTATTCAGTTAGTTGTCTAGTATGTTGCCATTTGCACCACACTCATAAGCCTTTGAGAGGGATGGAAAAGGGGGAAGGAGAGCTTGAGAAAGTCCAGCCCAGAACACAAGTGGGCATCTTCAGCACCTGTTCACAGTCACAGCCACGTGATGAGTGTCTGAATGGACATCTGTAGACAGATAGCTGAGACGGGAAGGTGGTGGTTTGTCTCCCACTTGCCAAGATTACAAGAGTCACAGGAAAAATTACCTAAGGTGGGCAGTGAAGCTCAACTCATTGCTATTCTGGGAGGATTTGGGGCAGCTGTCTCAACCCTTGTTAAGAGAAATGGAGCTTACCTACCTCATAAGAATTCTATGAAAACCACTAGACCGTGCCTGTGAAGTGCCCTGAGCTTTCAGGAGGACAAGACAGGAATGCAAAGTACATATTTTGAAAGGATGGTTTGTTTAAGTACCAATATTTCTTAAGAAGCCAAAGCCCTGGGTTCCAGGCTATTTATTTTTGGCAAAAAAAAAACAAACCTTTTCTGAGTCACTGACCTTGAAAAGAAGATCTAGATGTGCCTTAAGTGTTAGATAGCTCTGGGCAAGCAGTTCTAATGCAAAACAGTCCAAAAAACTAAAGGGACATTTAGTGAAATGTGCTCAGAATTCCCCAACTCAAGAGTTTTGAAAACATACCTGTGAGGGCTGGGGGAGGTACAGACCCACACTGTCCTGTCACCACCACTCCCTTCAAGAAGGATTCTCTCAGGTTGGCCTGACTGTGTTGAAGCTATACTCATCATCTACCTCCAAAGTCCCTTTAGTTCACAAAGAGGTCCTGTTTATTTAAGAATACAATTTCCTAAAGCACTTTGAACCTGATTTCTTCTGGTCAGCATTTGGCAGGCCCAAGGCACCCTATTCCTATATCAAAGACAAAGGCATAAAGGAGCTCCTTCCAACCCACCAGCCCAGTCTTACAGGGCCAGGGACATGGTGAGGGGAAATGAAACAATAAATGCCTCCTGAACTCCAAACTCCTATGGGTCTTAGTTATAAATGAACAATGGGCAAGAGAATCCTTCCTCATTAGAGAGGTGTTCTTGGCATAACTACCAGCATTCTGAGTTTCCATGTCATGGATGCCAGGGGCATGCACGGTGCTGCAAACACAGACAGCTCATGCTAACCAGGCCCCATAAGCCATGATTCCTTGCATGTAATGATACGAATAGCAATGGCCAGCAAGGAGGCCAAGCCAGGCCACCCTCTGAAGAGAATGGTGTCCCTCTGCTGCATCACTGTCATGACCTGACTGAAGGAAAGATTCTGGAGGGAAAGAGTGGCTGGAGGGAGAGAATGATGTCCCATGGATGGGAATAGGTGGATTGTGTCGGTGGGCAGGGATACCTGTTGCAAGAAAGCAGGACACGGGTAAAGGGACAGGCACTCATTAAACATCAGTAGCTTCTATCCAGGCCCTTTCATAAGGAGATCTGGGGTGTGCTTTTCGCATCACACATCCACTTTTATGAATTCTCTTTTCTTTCCCTCATTTGCAAGCTGTCTGTAACAATCCAGAACTGGCACCAGTTAGTTCAAAAGAAAAGAAAGAGAAAAGCCAAAGGGGCTCAGGAGGGTGGAGCTATCTTTTGGGAGCTCCCTTATGTCATGGGCCCTCCAGGATTGGGGTGGAAGGGGAGGACTCCTAGGGGTTTCCCTTGTGCTCTCTCTGAAACAACCAAGGGTCTGGTTCGTCAGCCCAATGACTATGGATCTAACTTTCTCTTGTTCTGATTACTCAGGTTTCCTCAGTCCTCTGCTACTTTTCTGATTTCATCCAAGAAGGATATGAATTTACCATTTTTGTTTGAAGTTCCAGATGCCTTATCTAAGGTACATAATTTTTTTAAAAAAAGGAAATAACCAATAGCATTTCTAAGATACATAGAATATGAATACAACATTGTTCTTTCTTCTTAACCTTAACATAGCGCCATGTCTGGCACATCATCTGTCTTCAATAAATACTTGCTGCATGAAATGAATGATCACCCCAACCACCCATCTCAAGTGCCTTAGGGCCCCTGTCCTCAAGAACTAAGAATAAAGCTTGTCCTGGAGGACTGTTATTTTGTAGATAAGTAGAGAAATACTCAGATTTGTCATACATAAACTCATTTCATTTATTGCAAAATAGTTGCAGCAGAGCACACATGTAAGAACTCAAGACATTTATTTAGAACTAGAGAATCAGAATTAACAATTACAATGGCAGTTTAATGATTACAGTCTATCTTTAGACTTCAGGCATTTACCTTTAATGAGTGGTCTCTGGAGAAAGGCTTGACCAAGTTTTAAAGTTGGAGGAAATCCCCCGTAGCTGAAGTGTGACATTGGCCGTGGCAGACAGTGTCTTAGCAGGCTTTCAGTCTTTAGAAAGAGTCACAGAGACCTTTTGTCATTGCCTTGTTTTTGGTGAATGTGCCTAAGTCCAGGGTTTATATGTGATTTTTTTCACCTTGGCTTTGCATGATAAGGGCCAGGTGATACCATGCTTAATCAAGACTAGTGGCTTACAGCTGTTTTTTTAAGGTCAGTCAGGTAGTATAATGTTGCAGCTTTCTTCAAGATTACAGATGAGGATTGTTTATGACACATTTAAATCTCTAGGCGAATTTACAGAAATTTAGTGATTCGTTATAATTTTTTTATCACAGCATGCAAGTATGTGGCTATGTTAGACAGGATGCTTACTACAAACATCACGTGCTTCTATGTTTCTCTTTGTAAATTCAGAACTTTCCATTACTGATATCACATTACAAGTGACTTAAGTAGTTTGAGAGCAACACAAAAAACATAGTAACAAAGGTATAAGGTTAGAATAATAGAAAGGAAAACTAATTAATAAAAGAAACAATGTGTTATCTACCCAGTACAGATTGTGAAGTCTTCAGTGACCTGAACCCATCCTTCTGGAGTCCCTGACAGCCCTTCCCCCCCAAAATTATTCATGTCTCCCACCTACAACCCTACATACACCTGTGGAATTTTTAATTAAAAACTGATCTCCCTGCCACCTCACAGAATGTATAAAAGGTGAAATCGACTACGGCTGGCTGCTTGGTGACACTCAGTGATACTGCGTGTTGTACAGAGGCTTCCCTGACATTGATGATGCACGTCCCTGAGGAGGAGTAGAAGCAGTCTCTTCATCTGCAAACTGCACACCCCTGCTAGGGCTGTTGTGGGTGGTAAATGCAGCTCTGTCCTAGTGCACTTAGTGCAGTGGCCCACCTCCAGGGAATGCTCACTCCACAGGAGCCATAAGTTTTAGGAGCCTCCATACCGGACGATAAATGCTTAACAAGCCCTTAGTATTTACTTTCATACAAATTCAGAGATGAGTAAGTCACAGTTGCGGCCTACGTGAATGGACAGGTGGGACAGGTACACAACAACAGTATGAGCATCATAAAGAGGGACAAAGTACTTGGAGGGGAAGGGAGGGTGAGCAGAGGGACCAAAAACCAAAAACCAAACACACTGCCATGAAGTCGGATCCAACTCATAGCAACCCCTCCTTGGGTTTCTGAGACAGTATCACTACGGAAGTAGATTGCCCAACTTTCCAAGGAGTGGCTGGTGGGTTTGAACCTCCAGCCTTCTAGTTAGCAATCAAATGCCTTAGGCACTACATCACCAGAGCTCCCAGGGAGGGAATAATTCAAGAAGGAAGTGGCATGTGCACCTTGCAGATATTCTTTTCATACATGGAGGTAAGATAAGAGCTAGGGGAGGAGGAAGAGCTGAAGGATGCGCAAGTAAAGGGAAGCACACGAGCAAAGACATGGAGACAGAAATTGAAGGAAATTCTTGTCAAGGGATCTGCAGACAGCTACACAGTGATTGAGGGAAGGGAGGCAAGAGAAGGGTGGGCTTGGTCAGAGCAGAGAGATAGGCGGCCAGAAGGTCAAGAGCAGTGAGGAGACATTCTATGCTCCTCACTGCCCAGGAGTGTCAGGGTCAGAACTGTGCGTGAAAGTCACCTCATTAATCCAGTAACACCTTCACAAGTAGATAACAGTGACTGCTAGGACTGAGGGAAATGAGTGCATTTCTGTGCAGTTGCTACAGAACCTGGTTGCTACAGGTTGCTACAGAACCTGCAAGAACTCTTTCAATCACTGTGTCTTTCTGAACATTTTATTTAGGCAGGCTCTCACTGACATACAGCCCATTACTCATCTGTGGTTGCTCTAGGTCACAGTGCACCATCGCATCCTAGCCTCTAAGACTCTAGGCACCAAGCTGACTGGGCCAGTGAAGGGGTGAGGGAGAGAATGTATTAATGATGGGCCTTCCCCCAACTGGCTTTGCATTTCTTGTCTGCCGTACTCGCCATTGACCACTAGATATCAGCAAAGAGCAACAGCTGTTCATCCAATAGGCAGTGCTGGAGGCCAGTGTCAGGGCCGACCCAGGAGAAGTCATAAATAAATACGTGGCTTCTGCTAGAGAGGCTCTAACGGGATGACCAAGGCCCTCGTGTTTTTTACTCTCAACATGAGAAAGAGAACTGCCTTTGCAGATTGGAAGGCAAATAGTTAACCCAGGGTCTTTATTCTGTTGGTGAACCCTGCAGTTACCTCAAGCCTGCTTGTCACACAGACCTCCTCAAATGTGATTCTAGGCTCCAGACTCTGCTCTTAACATAAAGGCATACACATGGACACTAGGAGGCAAACAGGGGCTCAGTTGGCAGCTGCTCCTTTCTGGAAAGAACTACGTTGTGTTTCAAGGGAGTGGAATGCACTGTGGACACTATCTCTTCCTGCTGCCTCCACACCCAGGACCTGCCAAGAGGCTGCTGGCAGCCCCACAGCCAACCGCAAGTCCTGACCCCCACGCATAAGCACAAAGGTCCTGCCACCTGGCTCCCTTTCTTTTCACCATCACAGGTCAAAGGGCAGAACTTTGAACAGCCACATTTCACACAGCACTCCTCCCCTGCCTAGGAGCAGCCCCACGGCTGATGCAGGGTATGTGTGTCCAGAGCAGTACTCTCTAGTGAAGAGAGAGAACCAGAGAGGCTCAGAGACAGGAGGAGGGAGATAGAGAGCAAGAGAAGGGGAGGGGAGGAAGAGACAGAGAAAAGCTGGGGTATGGGCAAAAAAAAAAAAAAAACAGAAAAAGAGAGGCAGAGGTGAAAAAGAAGACAGATAGATAATAAAAGACAAAGAAAGAAATGACGCCTTAACCTTTACCCATTTTTAAATATCTCCTTTGCAGAGGCTTCTTTGTTAGGCACGACTTTCACCTGCCATTCACAGGCACTGACTTCCAACTCTTCAAGATGCAGTGAAATACTAAAGTGCGTCATAATAGTTGAATGATTGAGGCCAAGAGGTGACTTACTCAGAGATCCATAGCAAGGCAGAAGCAGATGTGTGTGAGTGGTCAGGAGGACTGCAGCTGGACACCCAAAAACACTTGCCACTGCTGGAGGTCGTGTGTACATTAGCCAGAGCTCCTCTGTTACTGTTGTTGTTATATGCCATTGAGTCAGACCCGACTCATAGCGATCCCTCCTTGGGTTTCCGAGGCAGTGTGAAGTAGATTGCCCCATCTTCCTTCCGAGGAGTGGCTGGTGGGTTTGAACCGCCAGCCTTCTGGTTAACAGTCAAGTGCCTTAGCCACTATGCTACCAGAGCTCCTCCTCTGTTACTAGTGATTGTAAAATGCCACCTTCACCCTCTTCAGTCCATGCCCCCACTTCTTGCTCTACTCTATTTGCTATAAATTTGTTGTTCCAGTGAGTGAGTCAGAGTGAAGATGTGGATGTATTTATTTTGTCTTTAGCAGACCTGTGGCACAAAGTCCTGGCTGGAAAGAATGCACAGTAGTAGAGGTACAGCTGGAAAAATGTGTAGGGTGGTGACTTCCAATTTCTCATCAATTTTATCTCTTCTGATTTTCCCAAAAATTCTTTTTATTATTTTCCTCTCACTGACTATAAATTTGGAAAGCTTATGACCATCAAGTTTTACCTTATATACTCCTAAGTCCTTTTCCTGTTGACATTGATCAAGCACATATAACCACAAATAAAATTGTTTAAGGGAAGTAATAATGGACATCACTGGCCTGAAATAATGACAGTGAAACTGTGAAAGGTGGATACATGATTATTATTTTATGTCTGTTTGAAATTTTTTCCTAATGGACAGTAATGTTGTTGTTGTTGTTATGTGCCATCGAGTCGGCCCCGACTCATAGCGACCCCTCCTTGGGTTTCCGAGGCAGTATCACTA